TTACGGCTTCTCTCCTCCTTTCACTTCATGTGTTTTCTGTCCTTTCTACAATTCCCCTCTTTGCCTGAAGGAGGGCAGGCATGTTGAATACAAACTCAGACCAAACTATGTAATAAGACAAAAAAATCAGGGATTTTTTTCTTAGATTTTTTTTCCTCTATTGCTATCATTCCACACTTCACTCTGTGTTTGTTTCAGTAGGGATTAACATCAAACTAATGATTTAAAAACATACATATATAACTGACTCCAAAAGGCCCCATCTCTCTAGATTTTGTCTTCTCTTTTTCATCACCTCTAACAAACACATTCAGACATTTTACAGCAGCACTGCATTTAGTTTCAGTAAACCTTTCCCTTTAGTAACCATCATATTCCACTCAAAGCTGCATCCTAACCTACCTACTATGTCATGACCTGAGAATGTATGTGACACTGCTGCTTATTTACATTCATTGTCATAAAAATGTTCATTGAACCATTTCTTACTGCTTGTCTCTCACTAATAGCTCCAGTGATAAAATAAATAAAATAAAATCAGAATCCTGGCATTCACGCATTTCACCTATTAGTAAAACTTAATGTGCTCACTTTAATTAGAGGCTGATGTGCATATTTATGCGTAAACAGCTTTAAGCTGAAGATATGTACAACTCTCTTAAAAATATTACTCCTAAACTAAATTTTTTGCCCATACGTTCAGAATAAATCATAAAAACAAGCATCCGATGGACTCAATCTTAAGTTGTATGTGATTTTAAGAATGTGCAGAAGAGAGAAAAAAAAATCTCAGGGTAACATAAATGTTGGATTACAACATTAAAGGTACTCAGTCTGTTTCTGTCTTGACTTAACATTTCACTGCAGGTAGCCCAGCTTCAAAGAAAAACAAGACAAGCTGAATGCTTTAACACTGCATTCCTTAGTGGAGACTTGTGATGTGTTAATGTTATATGTTATATTGTGGGTTTCTTTCTCTAGTGATATTTCACGTAAAGTTGCCTTATTTTTTACTTTGTGCCAAAACAAGTCAATGTGAAGCTGAAACTGAAAGGATTATTGACCTAATAGGCTTAAAACAAATCAATAAGACATACTATTATTTAGGGTTTAAAATACTATGATGCAAAGCACATGTAAGGCCTTGAATGTAGAGGTATGTTGTAGAATTTCTTTTTTTGTACAACTAAAGGTGATCAGGGTAATGTGTGAACCAKAACAAAGCTTGTAATTAACTTTGGGTTGATAATTGTGCTTGTAGTGTAATCACATTCTCACAGTATTGATTTGTACCAGCCAAGTTGTGACAAAAGAAAAAAAAACTAGAGTTTCTTTGTTTAAAGCTCACTTGTGTTGTTTAAATTATTTACTCAAATGACTATTGTGAACTTATTTTCCAACTGAAATTTATAATTTTAAAGGTAAAAGTTTCAGCAACTAATGGGTTAGACTCTATTTATCATTAATATAGACACTCCTCGTTACTAATCAGCAGCTTGTAGTGTAACATTATGGTAGGATACTAAAATGGTGCCCAAGTGGAAATCCTTCTAATGTTGGTGATAAACGAATTAGAGCTTCAAACAATTATGCTTAAGTTTAATAAAGATTTACAAATGTAAAAACCAGAGTCTCACTTTGAGAGAATAAGTCATTGCGAACACAAACATGATTGACTTCATCAACAGACAGTTTTGGTGGACAGCAACAATCATCATGACTGCACATCATTGCAAATGTATTTTATATGCATTTTGCAACAGTACAGGATGATTACGTAAAAAAAAAATAAAAAAATAAAAAATCTAAACCATATTATATTAAACTAAACAAAAATTCTGAATATTTTGAAAGGAAAATAAAAAAAACAAGTTGTGTATCTTGAAAACAAACATGAGTTAAGTGAATATTGAAAAAAAATGTTTTTTGAGCAACATATCACAGTAATTTACAAAATACACAAAAGCTTGTGTTTAAAAAAAAATCTAATGGTTAATAAATGCCTCTGTTAATTATTTTATAAAAAAGAAAGATTTAGAACAAAGCCTCACTCTGCACTTGGATTAAACAGTGCTTCTCTGGATTTGAAAAGAGGTACTGCAGTGTAAAATGTTTGATAGCAAATCCCTTCTAGATTCACATTTGTATGCTTCGAGCAAAGCCAGAGAAAACGCCATGTATTTTACAGAAAGTCACACAAATATAAATTACCATGCACATAAAAAAGAAGAAAATAAAACTTTAGTTTAGCATTCTCAAACATGCCATAAGATTTATGCAAATGCTTTCATGGTTTTGCCTGTGTTCTCAGGAGTCCAACTGTACTTGGATGCTGAGCTCAGTAAGTCATCACACGAAAAAAGTAAAATAAATAAATATAAATCTATTTCAATCATTTCAATCATTTAAAAGGAAGAAATGTGTTTTCCGTGATAAAGAAACCGTGAGGAGGCTTTCAAGGTCCTAAGACTTTCTGAAGTCACTTAACATAATTTACCACAGGTGTCAGATAAAACTGGAGATGATAATTGAAGGTGACCTTCAGCTCAAAAAATACTGCAGCTTGCTGGCCATTGATTCTTAGAAAAAAAGGGAAAATGTTTCCATCTCCTTTTAACCCAATAAGGAATATGTGACGATGAGGAAAAAAAACGAGGGTGTGTGTGTACTGGTTGTAACTCCATGATCTCTGTAAAAATGAGCTCATTCATACCCTGCCGCTTCACCTGTGCTTGTTTTTTTCCCTATTTCTCTCTTTTTACATATACCTCCTCCTTATCTTTTCATTTATTCACAACCCTTTCTTTTTTTAACTGGTTGTAAAATACTTGTGCTTTCTTTCCTCACCAACGTAAATTAAAGATGTTGCAGAAAGCTAATAAACCAATTACATCTGACAAGTTTGTTGCCTTAGAGATCGATGAAGTCTGGCATCACTGTAGATGCAAAAAAACTGTAAGCTACTATGTATAGATGCTGAAGCTAATGGAGTGAATCCCAACACCGTATAGAAGAAATAATTGGCTAGGACTGATCTCAAGTATCTGGTATTATCCGTATACAAGACAACTCTATGCATGTGTGAAGTACGATGGGAATAAATGTCTCATGGAGGGATTACGGACTCGAAAAGAAAGAAACAGTGGGTTCATAGAATGGCAAGGAGGCCAAAAGGAGGTTGGTAAAAGCATAAAAGATGAAAAGAGAAAGGTGTGAGTTACTCAGAACATTTTAATTAAGGTGAGATAGGAGAAAAAAGGAAGCTTGACTGTGCGTGCTTGTCATTAACGAGACTCTCAGCAGGGACGAAAAGCCTCAAACAAGGAGACAAAACAAAAAAGGTAAAATCGGAAAGAAAGCTTGGGTTAATTGGTATTCTCCATAGAATATGTTGTTAATTACATTATTAGAAAGTAGTTCCAATGGGGTTATATGCAGGTAAAAGAATGGTCAGACAATCTGCTGTTTAAAACCAGGATATCACTCTGTAAAGCTGGAATTACCATAAATATATTTGGCTTTATCAGGCATTGAATTTAAATTGGACACATCGTATGAAGTGAAACTGTGTATCTTTAATCTGAATTCCTTCTTACTGTAACTTTACCAGCCACTCTRTCACCCCATTTCTGAAGTGTGTCTCAGATCAACTCATTCTGACGCTGTCTCTTTAAATCTAAATGAGGCACTTCCCAGCCATCCCCCTTCAGCTTCCAGATCAGTTRATTCTAGTTTGATATAAGGGTTTATATAGTGGCACAGGAACTTTTCATTTACAAATTAATTAAAATATGTCAAGAGGACTGTCCATCCAGTCTTACATGTTGGAGTCAGAGTCTGACCCAGAGTGAGAGAAGAATGAAGATAAACATGCAGTTGAGAAGTCCATGTTTGTCAGTTCTTTCACAATATATCTGACGTAATAGTTCATAAACTGAGAAAACTGTACGGGTTGAAAAATATTACCCAAACAGAATATGAGGATATCTTTGCAGCAGCAGGATAAACTAAATTAAACTTCCCTGCACTCCTAGAGACTCCAAGTACACAAAAATGTATTTAACAACTGGAAAAAGCATATTTTGCATTTCATGTCCTCTTTAAAGCAGGTGATTGAGAGATGGACTGAAAGAAATATGATAGGTAATGAATAATTATATTTCCTCAAGTATATGAGAGAGAGAGAGAGAGAGAGAGAGAGAGAGAGAGAGAGAGAGAGAAGAAAAACAGCTACCTAAGTCAATAAAAGTAAACTTAAATAAGAAAAAAGATTCAATTTCATAAAAATATAACACTACAAACCTATATTGAGCAAATTAGGTCATTATGACATACAAAGTGTTTGTGAAGGGGTACCTTAAAAATCTTATATAAAAAAGAATAATCAAAACCTTTAGCAGATGAAAGCTACTGATTTTGGACAATATGGAAGTAACTAACTTTGCATCAAAATGAATCAAGACCAGAGTAAGAGTCATCGATTCAAACAACGCCAAGTAAAGCTAAAATTATAATCTTATAAATGTGAATTCACTTGTCTTTCAGGAGGCCTATTCAAATTCATTATGCAATAATTGTGATTACAAAAAAGACACTTCAACATGATTTTATTTCCATCTAATTAGCATCAGGCCCAGCTGAAGTAGAAGTGAGTGGCTGAACTAAAGTTACATGAGTAGACATCGGCACTCAAAAAAAAAAAAAACAAATCACCGGGTGATAAAAAGATTCAGAAACAAAGACTTCTTTACATTTGCTCTGCTACAAATAATAGCTTAACTGTTTGGGTTTAAACAAACAAACAAACTGAAAATTTTAAATGAAAGAGAAAAGTAATAAAAATAATAGTTATAAATTATAGTCAAAAAAATGTAAGAGCAAAAGAGGGGAATCCCCCCCGACACTGCAAATGTGGAAACCAAGTAAAACCACCTCATGCATTTGAATATAAATGACCAAATTAGAAGTTACAAAACAATGTTTCTGTTTTAATTACTCACCCTGCTGACTCCTCGTCCTCTGTCTTCTCCATAATTTGTTCCCAGGATCTCAAAGAAGATATTGGGATTAGTGCCGTTGTCAGTGAACTCCAAAAAGCTGGTGAGGCCGCTCACTCCAAACTACAAAGAGCAGATGAAATGGCATTATGGTAGGGTGGGTTTATTTCTTTTAGTTCCTACGCAGCTCCCCTCTTCTCACTGACTTGGTTCTAGTTGCCAATAACCACACCTGCTGTGGTGCTCTGTGCTTAGAGGTTTGTCTTATTACATAGAAAAGGGTGAGAGTGTTTCTATCAACTGCAATAATAAATCTAGAAGAGTTAAGCTTAGACTTCAAAATGGTCTCTTGGGTCTTTACTGAGAATCTTGTTCTGTTTCAGAAGGCTTACTCTGCCTTAACAATGGTCAATAAAATTTTTCACATCAATCCTAAACCTAAACTGCCCAAGTCACCGAGACTGAAAGTAGGTTATATAAAAAGCAACAAGTCTAGTAACAAATGCAGTAAGCACTTTAGGCTATGAGGATTGGTGCAACAGGAGGATCGCCTGCTGCAGTTTACTTTTCATTCTTGATTTGTCAATGAAAACCAAAATGCAACATCAACAGAACTTCTCATTAGCAAGTGCAAATGAGTATTTATTATTATCATAATGCCCCCACATAGCAAAACACTGATTAAACACCCKGGCACGCACAGTAAGTGAAGAATGCTGCTGATATGCTATAAAATGAAAGTGATGTCAGTTTGCTGAACTCAACTCTGTTACCTCTTGGGGCTTTTTAAACACATCTCTGCAGAGACAGTCACATCAGGGCTGCTTTAACAGTTAGTGCTGGCTGATGAAAACGTTGCCAAACCCAAGCCTGATCTCAAGGTGAACCYCAGAGATAGATATAAAAGCCATTGCGCCGCATTTATTATTGTCTGACACTAATCCTAAATTAGCATTTCACTTGGCTTTATCATTCAAAGTGCCATCCCTGGAGTAGATAGTAMATATATATTTATTTTATTTTTTTGTTAATATCAAAACAGAGGGCATTGATCCAATTGAACTTACCAGTGGTGAAAGTGTTGGCAAGCTCTCATTTAAACTCAAGGTGAAATGCAGAGATTTTCTAAAAACTACAGTAGTAGATTTTTTTTTGCTAAAAATGAACAAACTACAAACAATGATTGAAGTTTTTTTTTTTTAAATGTGTGAAGAYCTTCTTGAAATTTGCAATGGTGTAGGTCGCACAATCTACTGAGCCACTTGTAAAATTTCCAATTGAAAAACAAACAGAAAAATAGACTCCTGTGGACTAAAACCTCAAAAAAGATACGTTTAGCTATATTTGCATGTTTGTGGGCAAGTTCAGCTGGATGATTTAGAGCGTCCGAAGTGTGCATTGTGCTTGACTGAAAACCTTCTACAAAGGCTGAAGAGAAGAAAGCCTCTGCGTCTCTTTAGATATCTTCTACCTTTTTGACAGTCTCCAGCATGCTCTTGCCCCCTTGCCAAGGTTTGGAGTTCTTCCGGATGCAGCTGAGACTGGCCATGCTGTGCCATTTTCTGTCCTCCAGCTTCCTGTGGAAAGTATTGGCCAGCAGCAGAACAGTATCATAGATGTAGCGGTTAGTGATCTAAAAGAAAAGAAAAAAAAAGAGAGAAAGAAAAGGACTATGAGAAAAACAGTCTTTGAGGTATTAGAATTGTGTGACAACACT